CCCTGTTCTGAGGGCCCTCCCAACTCTGACATTTCCTGTTCTGAGGCTCCTCCCAGCCCTGACATTCCCTGTTCTGAGGGCCCCCTCCCAGCTCTGACATCCTCTGTTCTGAGGCCCCTCCCAGCTCTGACATTCCCTGTTCTGAGGGCCTTTCCAACTCTGACATTCCCTGACCTATAATGATGGTTCTCTACCTCCTTCTGTGGCAGAAAAGGCCAAAGCCCAGGTGTAGCAGGGGCAGAGGGCAGGTGTAGGGTCTTGGGGAGGACTCACAGTACACCGTGAGGTTGACAGGGTCACTGCGGCTGACGCTGACAGGGTTCCAAACCTCGCACTGGTAGGACCCGGCCTCTTCTCTGCGGACGTTGTGCCGGACCAGAACCCGGTTGTCTGGGGTGAGCCCCAGACGGCTGCCAATAGGGAGCGGCTCCCCATTGAAGAACCAGCGGATGTCTGCCATGCTGGGTGTACTGCACAGCAGATGGATGGCGTCTCGCCGCTCCACCAGCTTGGTGCCATTGGCCAGGAGGAGAGGTGGGGACAGGATCTCTGGGGGGAGAGGCAGAGGGGGAGGGGACTGGACACCACCTAGATGGTGACCCGCCCCCCCCATCCCCCGGCCAAGTGACACTGTTAGCGATGGCAGGATGGGAGACCATGAGAAATTCACATATCACAAATCCAAACAAACCCTGGTGTCATGGAGAGAACACTGAACCCGGAGTCAGAGAACCTGGGTTCATATCCCAGCCTAGCCACTTACGACCTGCATGGCCTTGGGAAAGTCACAACCTCTCTGGACCTCAGTTTCCTCACCTGTAACACGAAGGGATTGGACCAGATGACCTCTAAGACCCTCCTGGTCCTTAAGCACAGGATGCTACGATCCTGAGGTGGGAGGGCATTACAGATTAAGAGAGAGGAGGAGGGAGCTGGCGGAGGGCCAGCCGGGGGGACGCTCTCACCATAGACCAGCAGGTGCCCATAGGCAACGTCGGTCTCGAACCGCTGGTTGAGGGTTTGCAGGATGTAGCTGCCGGAGTCCTCAGGGACCACGTCCCGGATGTCCAGGCTCCCATCGGGGCGGACGGCTTCCCGGCCTGTGTAGGCAGGGCCCGGTGTCTCATCTGCAATGCTGATGATGTAGCTCAGGATGAGGTGGGCCTGGCTGAGGCTTGTCCCTCGGTACCAGTTGTAAGCCACGAGCTCCCCAGGGAGGCCTCTCACCAGCAGGGTGACGTTCTCCCCCTGGGCCGGTTCCTCCGGGATGGCTAAGATGTTCAGCAGGGCTGGGGCTGGTGGGATCCAGGCACTTAGGAGGAGAGCTGGGAGGAAGGGGAAAGGGAGAGCGAGAAGAAAAGATGGTCTGTGTGAGAACTTGGGTAGGTCACTTCCTGTGTTGGAGCCTCAGTTGTCTTATCTGACAGATGGGCTCAGTGATCTTTATGGTCTATTCCAGCTCGGACATTCCCTGTTCTAAGGCCCTTCCCAGCTCCGTCATTCCTTGTTCTCGGCCCCTCCCAGATCTGACATTCTATGTTCTTCATTCTGAATGACTTCTAGTTGTAACATTATGTGTTCGAAGGGCCTCCCAGCTATGACGTTTCATAAGGCTCCTTCTGGCATTGACACCCTCTGCTCTAATGGCCCTTTTGGATTTGGCATTCTTTATGCTAAGGTCCCTTTCTGGTTCTTCTCTAAGGTTCCTTCCAGCTCTGACATTCTAGGTCCTAGACATCTCCCCTTCCCCACAGGTATCATAGTCTACGTTCCAAGATCCTCTTGAGCTCCAGCGTTCTGTGTTCTCTTCTCTGATATTCCATGTTCCAAGTTCCCTTCAGTCTTTGACATAGAAACATAGAGATATTTGGGGTCATGTAGTCAATCCTCACCTTCTGACTGAAGAAACTGAGACCTCCAGAGGCTATGAAAATTTCCCAAAGTCACACAGGTAGTGAGGATTCTTCTATATTCTACTTTCTAAGATCCTCCCTAGTATGTTCTAGGTTCCCTCCCGGCTCTCAGTTCTATGTTCTAAATGATGTCCAAGCTCTGAATTTCTTTGTTCTAGGATCTCTCTTGGCTCTCACATTCCATGTTCTAGTTCTGATATTTTATATTCTAAAGCCCCTCCCAGCTTGCACATTCCATGTTCATTCTATATCTTATTCTACATTCTATGGTCCTTCCCAGTTCCAACATTCAATATTCTAAGGCTTCTCCCAGCTCTAACATTCCCTGTTCTAAAGGTCCCTCCCAGCTTTGATAGCCTATGTTCTAAGACCCCTCTTAGCTCTGACATTCTCTATTCTAAGGTCCCTCCTAGTTCTGACATTCTATGTTCTAGGGACCTTTCCACTTTTCACATTCCATGTCCTAAGGTCCCTCCTAGTCTGGACATTTCCTGTTCTAAGCACCTTTCCACGTCTAACATTCCATGTCCTAAGGTCCCTTCTAGCTCCAACATTTCCTATTCTAAGGTCCCTCCCAGCCTGGACATTCCCTATTCTGAGCACCTTTCCAACTCTAACATTCTATATTTTAACGTCCCTTTCAGATCCAACATTCCCCGCTCTAAGTGTCCCTCCTAGCTCTGATATTCTATGTTCTAAAGGTCCCTCCCAGTTCTGACATTCTATGTTCTAAGGGTCCCTCCCAGTTCTGACATTCTATGTTCTAAGGGTCCCTCCCAGTTCTGACATTCTATGTTCTAGGGACCCTTCCAGTTCTCACATTCCATATCCTAAGGTTCCTCCCAGCCTGGACATTTGCTGTTCTAAGCATGTTTCCATTTCTAACATTCTATGTTCTAAGGTCTCTTCCAGCTCCAATTTCCTGTACTAAGGTCCCTCTCAGCTCTGATATTCTATGTTCTAAGGGTCCCTCCCAGTTCTGACATGCTATGTCCTAGGGATCCTTCCAGTTCTCCCATCCCATGTCTTAAGGTCTCTCCCAGCCTGGACATTCCCTGTTCTAAGTGCCCTTCACACTCTGATAATCTGTGTGAGACATTCTAAGAGTCCTCCCAGTGGTGACATTGGATGCTCTCCCATTCTTCCAGCTCTGCCCCTCTGAATCTGTGGCATCAGGGTCTTAGTTTTGGGGTTCTAGTGGTAGGGTCAGGGGAGTAAAAAGTAAAAGGATCAATAGACAGAAGGACATTCTGATGGTATCTCTCCTTAAGTAGAATCTGAGAGCATAAGAGCTCAAAGGGACCTTGGAAGACCTTGAGCTCCAACCCCTGAGGTCTCCCTGGTTTCCAAACATGGGGATGTGCCCTGCCTGAGGTCACACAGCAGTGAGAAGCAAAGGGAGGACAAGAATCTCGGCTTGTTGATGTCCCCGTTTCCGACAGCTTTTCCTTAACTCCTTATTGTCTTCGTTCCCCTCGCGATGGAAAGGGAAGGAACAATAGAAAGAGTCTGGATCTGGCTCGGGATGCCCTCCCACTGCATAGGGTGCCACTGACCACTCTCAAGCACAGCTGGTCCTCTCCTCCACTCCCCAGCCCCAAACTTGCTCTAACCTTTGGCTTACACCTTCGCTGAGGATGTGGGAGCCCTCTCTCCCTCAGCCTCTGTATCTGTCTTGGAGCATCACGGGATTTAGAGCTGGGGGGACAAGAGACCTTAAAGTCAAGTGCCCTCAGTTTACGGGAGGAGAAACTGAAGTCTCCCCTCTAGCCCTTTGGATGTGTGTGTGCATGTTTGGGGAGTCACAGCAGAGCACTGCTGTTTTGTCTCACCTGTCAGGAGAAGTCCCTTCCAGGGCCAGGAGCCCCGTTGGTGGGGGTTCCAGCTGCCCCAGGGTAGTGCCATTTGCTACTCCCAAATGGAGACCAGGAAGCCTGTTGCCTGTGCCTGGGGATCTTCTGGAGTCCCTTAGGTGAGCGCTCCTGGTTGTGACTCCTCTTGGGTCTGGGGCTGGATCTGGGAGGGAGTGGCGACTTGGAACATTGGGGAGATCACCTGAATTTGGAGGGATCGAGTCACCAGAAATCTGGGTCTCGGTTGGGGCACCCAACTGGTGTGTGCCAAGGGCAGCCATGGGGCCATGACCTGCCCCGGTCCCTCTGGGGAGGGAGGCTGTACCTTTCTCATTGTTCCTCAGGCACCGAAAGGACAAGCAGGCCAGAGGCCAGAGTGGATGGGGCAGTTGCAGGGGGCAGAAAGGGGAGGATTTCAGGACAGCTCTTACCGAATTACCAGAACCTGGCTTCCTCAGCCAGTCTCTTTATGTGCTTGGAGATCATTGGGGGACAAAAAACAAAGACTGTTATACTAGCTTGGGAGAGGGCAGGAGGTATGGAGTAATGGAATGAACTTTGGACTGGGAGCCAGAAACTCTGCAGTCAGGAGACCCGGCTGCCTCTGCCTCATGGCGTAACCCCAAGCCCTCTCTGTGCCTCAGTTTACCCCCTCTAAAATGGTGGGGCTGGGCTGGAGGATCTCTTGGGTCCTTATAGCTTTAATGTTCTGTCATTCTGTGATGCTAAGATGTGTGTTTGGGGTCTGATTACTGCCCACGTACCAAAAAGTCTCTGGAAGCAGTGGCTGCATTGGGATGGGAATGGGCATATTGAGATCGCAGATGGCTGCTGATTCCCTGTGGCAGCTGGAAGCTTTTGTCTTACCTCAGTTTCTCTATTTGTAAAATAAGGACTCAGCTCCTCCTACCTGCCTACCCCATTTCCAATCTTCTTATACCTTAAACCCCCCTTATTCCAGTGACCTCCTGGCTGTTCCACAAATACGTTCCTCCATCTCCAGGCTCTGAGCATTTTCCTTGGCTGTGCCCTATGCCTGGAACACCCTCCCTCTCTGCTTCCTGGCTTCCTTCCAGTCTCAGCTAAAGTCCCACCTTCCCCAGGAAGCCTTTCCCCATGTCCCTTAATGTTAGTGGCCGCCCTCTGTTGTCTGTCTTCAGTTTAGCCTGTCTGTGCCTCTTCTGTCTGTAGCTGTTTGCTTTTTGTCTTCCCCACTAGATGGAGAGTTCATTGAGGTCAGGGACTGTCTTTTATCCTTCTCTGCGACCTCAGCTCTTAGCACAATACCTGAAACAAAGTAGGGGACTAATAAACATTTATTGACTGACTGACTGACACGTTCCCTGAGATACTACCTGGCTTGTGAAATACGGAATGTCAGAGCTGGGAGGGACCTTAGAACAGGGGATGTCAGAGCTGGAAGGGTCTTTAGAATAGGGGATGTCAGAGTTAGGAGGTCCTTAGAACAGAGAATGTCAGATCTGGGAGGAGCCTTAGAACAGAGAATGTCAGATCTGGGAGGGCCTTAGAACAGAGAATGTCGGATCTGGGAGGAGCCTTAGAACCGGGATTGTCAGAGCTGGGAGGGCCCTCAAAACAGGCAATCACCAAATCAGAGAATCTGAGAGTTGGGAAGGATCTCCCAGTCCAACCGTAACCAGGAGTCTTGGCTAGGACGCGCTCTATAACTGATGTTCCAGCTTCTGCTTTAAGACCCCTTTGGAGGCACCCCCTCCCCCACCCCGCCCCCAGCCCTGGTCAGCACTGGGACAGCTCCGATCGCTGGTGGGAAGGCTTCAGTGCCCTCCAGCCTCAGTCTCCCTGTCCTTCCCACTCCCCTGGTCCCGGTGTTGGAGCCAAACAAAGCAGACACCATTGGTCCCGCACATGACAATCCTTCAAGTCCTTGATGCTAGCTATCATGTTCTCTCCTCCAGGCTCCTTCCACCAGACCTCATATGACACAGACCCACAATCGTTCCCCAGTCTGCTTCTCTTCCCTTGGACGCTCTCCAGCCTGCAGCTTATCGACATCCTTCTGAACATGGTGCCCAGAAGTGAACTTGATCCTCCAGGCGAGGTCTGGTGAGGGCAGAGGATGGGGGTTGCCATCTCCCTAGGCCTGGGAGCTTGGCCGCTTAGTGCAGCCCAAGATTACATCAGCTGCTACCTCCCAGGACTGACTCCTGTGAATCTGCTGGGGGTCCACTGAGACCCCCAGATCTTTTCCAGAATAATCACTGTCTAGCCACGAAGACCGTTATATTATACTTATCAGGTTGGTTTTTTGTTTGTTTGTGCCCAAATCTAAGACTGCATACTTGTGCCTATGGAATAATTTCAGTTAACAAGATTCAGCCCAAGGTTCTAGCCATCAAGATCTTTTTTGGACCTTGACTCTGGCATCCAGTGTGTTAGCTCTCCCACCTAGCCTTATGTCATTAGCCTGACCTCTAGGCCTTTATCCAAGTCATTGATAAGAAAGTGAACCAGTTTGGAGCCCAGCGCAGATCCCTGGGGCACTCTGCTATAGACCTCCAGCCAGGTTGACATTGAATCATTACTCACTACTCTTTGGGTCCAGCATATCCAAACAATTTTGAATCCCCCTGATTGTATTATTGCCCAATTCATTTAACTCCATCTTTTTTTACAAGAATGGTAGATCAGTTTTGCTGAGATTCAGGTAGCTTATATCCCCAACCCTCACCTAATCTACTCTTTTAGTAGGGGACAAGGCATAGCGGTATAGTGAACTCCTCAAAGAGGAAACTCCAAATAGAGTCATTAAGAATTGGAAAATAGCTACTCCTTTAGCTACAGGTAAGTTGTGGAGGGCAGCTAGGTGGCATAGTAGATAGAGCACCGGAATCAGGAGGACCTCAGTTCAAATCCAGCCTCAGACACTTACTAGTTGTGTGACCCTGGGCATGTCACTTCACCCTGTTTGCCTCAGTTTCCTCATCTGTAAATGAGCTAGAGAAGGAAATAGCAAACCACTCCAATATCTTTGCTAAGACAAGCCCAAATGGAGTCACAAAGAGTCAGACATGACTGAAAAATGACTGCACAAACAAAAAAGGTCACTGCATACATTATATTTTTTCTCCCTGTGTATCAGGTAATGAAGATCTTCCCAGGATTCTTCCAGCAGTCACATTCCATTTCCTTCAGGGACCACAATGTGTTCAGCCATTCCCCCATCGATGGGCATTGACTCAGTTTTCACCTCTTGGCAAACACAAAGAGTGCTGTTATCAATAATTTGGTTTGCCTGAGGTCTCTGCCCCAGTGTTCTTCTTCTATACACCTACTTCAGAATCTTTGCCAAAGGGGACAGTCCCTCTGGTCATCGCCAGTCGCTTTCCAGGATAGATGGAAGGCAGAGGTCCCAACTCTACCCACGGGCAGTACGTGCCTGCCTGTCTTTCCACAATCCCTCACAACATTGGGATTTTCCAGAGGGACTTTTAATTGGAAACCATAGGAAACAAACCCAAGCCAAGTGAAACCATTCAGAAGCACCATCAGTCTGTGGGATGGTGCTGCCGCCTGGTGACCACTCAGGATCCTCCGCCGCATCCAATTCACACAATCGCCTATTGTCTGGGCTGAAAGGGACCTCGGGTGCCCATCTGCTGCACTCCCGCCTCATTGTATGCAAGGAGACAGGAAGGCCCAGGGAGGACAGATCCTTGTCCTTTTAGCAGGAGAGAAGTAGAACATGAAGACCGGGTGGCTGCCTCTCCCGTGGGATGCTTGATACTTTGTGACCAGAGGAGGCAGGTGGTACTTTCCTCTCCTGAGGCAGAGGGCTGGATGACATGACCCCAGTGGAGGGACGGGTGTGGCTTGTGGCCAGTGCTGTGACTGTCATTGGAGAGGTGGGGGCAGACAGAGCCCTACCTTGAGTGCTGGACAGTTCTAGATTTCTGACCTCAGAGGCCATAGAACTAAGTGCCTCATTTTATAGATGTGAAAACTGAGGCTAACTGGGGAGGCTAACTGCCTGGAGCCACACAAGTAGTAAGAATCAGAGGCAGAATTTGAATCCAGGCTCTCTGGCTTTGGAGTCAGCATTCTTTTTACCATAGAAGGAAGGAAGGACGGAAGGAAGGAAGTGAAACACTCCTGGGACAACTACCTCTATGTGGTGGTGGCGTGGCGCAGTGGATAGATCTGGGCTGGAGTCAGGAAGATCTGAGTTCCAATCCAGCCTCACATACTTACTACCTGGGTGACTCTGGACAAATTGTTTAACCGCCCCCCCAAAAAAACAACCCCAGTTTGCCTCAGTTTCCTCAACTGTAAAATGGGCGTCATAATAGCATCTACCTCTCAGGGTTGTGAGCATCAAAAGAGATAATATTTCTAGATGTGCTTAGTACAGTGGCCAGCACACAGTAGGCACTTAATAAGTGCTTATTCCCTTCCTCCCCTCATTTACTAGAGGACCAGGATCAGGAGGAGATTTACCAGGTGGAAAGCAATGAGGGAAGATGTAACACCATCCTACATCCCAGGGTGACTGGAAGCGGATCATGAGGCTTGGGGACAGCGGTCAGGGCAGGGAAGGCCCGTTTGCCCTCAATGTCTTTGGCAGAGATTCTATACTTCCAAACCCCTGCATCCTTCTACGTGTCCCCTCCTTGCAGGGTCCAGAACCTCAGGCCCAGGCACCTGCCCTCTCAGCATCATCCTCAGGGACAAGCCTGGGCTAGGAGGAGTCCTGTTTAATGAGGACTGAGACACAAACAGGGGAGAGGTGAGTTGGGCCTGGGCCATGCCCTCCCTGCCACCTCCCTCTGGGAACTCTGCCCAAGCTTGATCCTGTCCAGCAGCGCTGGTGGCCCAGGCCACCCTGGATCCCAGATCTTGAACTATTTCTGGAAAGGTTTTATTTCCCAGTAGTAGCCCTGGCTTCAGTTGCTCCAGGAGGGAGGGGTTCTCAGGTCAGGCCGTGGGTGTGAGTTGGCAGTACGGAGCAGGGTCTGGGTCCTGCAGCTTCTGGGTGGAGAGCAAGAAAACGAGTGAGTAGCCTGGACACCCAGAGAGATGGGGAGGCTGCCAGAGAGAGACCCACGGAGGGAGAGCAGTGTGGGGCAATGGGCACAGACAGAAGCATAGGATGAAGGACAGATGGCTGGACAGCAGTTTGTCTGAAAAAGATCTGGGGGTCTTAGTGGACTTTGACTCATTAGAAATCAATAGTAGGCCCCTCCCAGCTCTGACATTCCCTGTTCTGTATTTTAAAGACACTTCAAGATCCGATGTTTTATGCTGTATGGGCCCTGCCAGTCTTAATACCCCGTCATTCTGTGAGAGAAAGAAAATGAGGCAGAGAGATTCAGAGAGAAAGTGGAGGAGACAGGGGGATCCAGAGATAGAAAGGAGGAGCCGGGCCCTCCCAGAGTCCATCTGCAGGCTCTCTCCCATCCCCCACCCTCCCTTGCTCCCTTCCCCCGCCCCTGCCCAGCACATCGTCCTGCCTTCCCTCCCCCTCTCCATCTTGTACTCTGATACCTGGTAGCGCTGATCTTCCTCTTCGTGGTTCCTGGTCTGGGGCTGGGCATGGATAGAGTGCACGTAACTACAGGGTGTTCCCTGCTCCCCCATTCCCCACATTGATCTTTGGCTCCATCTACAAGCCTAAAACCTGTGGGCAAATCCTTTAAGATGTTTTTGGTTTTCCCCAGCTAAAACCTTTGACCCGTAGCCTTATCTTTTCTCTTTAATCTTTGACCCCGGACCTCCTCTCCTGACCTATCTCCTCCCCAATTTCCCCAGGAAGGAGCTGAGGCAGCTTGATGGGAAGAGAATGAGCTTCGGGCTGAGGGTCCTGATCTTGCACTTTCCCTGAGCCCAGCAAATGAGCAAATGGCTCCCCGTCTTCATCTGTAAAATGGGCATGATCACTTCTGCCCTGCCTCCCTTTCTGGGCTGGCTCTTGTGAGCTGAAGTCTCATCCAGGAATGTGCTTGGGAAGTTACAGAGATCTCTGCAGAGCAGGGTCAGCCGAGGGGGGTGTGTAAGGGAAGAAGGGAGAGAGACACTTACCATAGTTGTGGTCAGGTTTGGACTGCTGCTTCCTTTATCACTCTTTGGTGTGATCAGGATGTTGGGAGAATGGATCTCCTCATAGATATTACTGCTGTCTGGGGTGGGGGAGAAGTAGGGGGACTGACTGACTGTCTGGGGACCCCCAGCCCCCTGCCCCCATTGGTCTCCGGTCTTACCAGCTTTGTGTTTGTGGCACATGTGTCTTCCTAGGTCTGGTCTTGCGGTGATGGCCCTGAAAGAAGATCAGAGGATTCTGGTTGTCTTGGGCCAGGTCATGTCCTCTTCTAGGGTGACCAAGGAGGAGTCTGGGGCCCAGACAGGATAATAGACCCACCCGGGGTTGCTCAGTGGTCCCTGGAGGAGTGAGGCGTGGGTGTGCCAACTGCCTCCCCTACCACCCTGTGTGCTCTGAACAGGGATGACTTGTGTTTAGCCAAGGGAGGCGAGATCCCTGCTATCTTTGGACTCAGTTTTCCCATCTGCAGCATGGTGTCCAATTCTGGATACCTCAACATTGACAAGCTAGAGAGGAAGGGGTCCTGATGAAGGTACTGGAGGTCACATCAGGCAAGGAGCAGCTGGAGGAAGTGGGGATGCAGAGAAGGGAGGGAGAACACTGGGGAGGGGACCATAATCATGGATGGCCCCAGGAGGAAGAGACAGGAGGAAGAGAAAGTGCCAAGTTCCCAGAGGCAGATTTCCTCTTGATATAAAGAAGTTGCTAGTGATCAGCTAGGAGGTGGACTGCCCCAGGAGGGAGAGAGCTCCCTGTTCCTGAAGGTATCCAAGCAGAGTTGCATGATCACCTCTCATGGATGAGGTAGAGGAGACTTCTGTTCTTGCTGAAAGGTGAGCTCTAAGGGCAACCTAACTCAGTGTTTCTTAGCCTAATCTGGACCCATGCTGACAATCAGAGGGACAGAGGGAAAGGATGGGGAAAGTAGGACACTACAGTACTCAGGACTTTTGATCTTCCAGCTTCTAGTGACCAGCAGGTAGACCAAGCCACTGCCCACAACGAGGGCCCCCAAACCCAGGCAGCCGACAACAATGGCGACTGTGGTCCCCGAGTTCATGGGCAAGGAGCTGTCCTTCGCTGGATCCTGGTGCTCGGGAATGGGGCTGGTGGAGTTCAAGGCTTTCTCTGAAAAAGAACGAGAGGAGGACCTTGCTAGGCTGAGGGACGTCCTGGCTCGGGCTGGTGTAGGGGAGCCCCAGAATTCTCTGACTCTCTTGCGGGTCTGCTCTGATGGAGCTCCCCAGGTCTGGAGTGGACACCCCCCTCTCCTCTGCTGATGTAAGTGGAAGCCCTTTCCCTTCTGATGAAATCTTAATAAAGCTGCCCCCAACCCCAATAATCTAACTTCTTTAGGAGCCTCACTGAACAGCAGGCGTGTCCTGATTTGACCGCACAATCTGACTTTAACCACATGACAGGCCCCCCGACCCAATATCTCAAGTATGCCTCACTAGACCAGCAAGCATGTCCATGTGATGGGATCCCAGCCACTGCCCCCAGACCCAATTCTCACACTGCTCACAGAAACAGCAGGCGTGTTCATGCACTCAACCAAAACCACATCTATCTAGTCTCAGACAAGACCACACTAGCCAGCCAATCAGAAATCAGCACCACCAGGATGCCCAAGCAGGTTGTGGACTCCAAAACAATAGAGGGAACTTTCCCTAAGTAGGCACCTGTGTAGTAATAGTAAATGCTGTCCTTTAAGTGAACTTATGATGTAGAGAGGATTAGTTTTTAAAGCATGGAACAAATTTGGCCTATTACTTTCAAAAGTAGAGGCAGCTAGGTGGGTAGAGTGCTGGGACTGGGGTCAGGAAGCCTTGAATTCAAATCCAGCCTTAGACTCTTACAAACTGGGTGACCCCGGGCAAGTCACTTAACCTCTGTCTGCCTCCTCATCTGTAAGATGGGGATAATAATTGCACCTCCCTCCCAGGGTGGTTGTGAGGATCAAATGAGGTGAGATCTGTAAAGTGCTTAGCTGCATGCCTGGCACATAGCAGGTACTCTATAAATACTAGCTAATATCATTAGGACTGAAACTGTCTTCCTCGTCTTTGTTTCCTTCTGAGCTTTCTTTCCATGCTTTTCTGGGCAACACTGACCCTCTCTCTTCTCACCAATTCTTTCCCACCCTCCATAAAAAGAGAACCACACAATCTTTGTGATGAATAAACAGGGGTGAGACAAAGTCGAATAAATCCATACATTGTCTGGGTCCAAGAATATATATCTTCTCAATTCTGAGTCCGTTAACCTTCTCTTAAGAGGTGAGTATAGCTGGCTTCAGCATCCCTGGTATTCCAAGCTCTACAGCCCCTCCCAGCCCTGACATTCCCTGTTCTTTTTTGGCTAGGCAATGGGGTTAAGTGACTTGCCCAGCGTCACACAGCTAGTAAGTGTTATGTGTCTGAGGCTGGATTTGAACTCAGGTCCTCCTGAATCCAGGGCCAGTGCTCTATCCACTGCGCCACCTAGCTGCCCCCATTTCCTGTTCTAAGGGCCCTCCCAGCCCTGACATTCCCTGTTCTAAGGGTCCTCCCAGCCCTGACATTCCCTGTTCTAAGGGCCCTCCCAGCCCTGACATTCCCTGTTCTAAGGGCCCTCCCAACTCCAACATTCCCTGTTCTAAAGGCCCTCCCAACTCCAACATTCCCTATTCTAAGGCCCTTCCCAGCCCTGACATTCCCTGTTCTAAGGGCCCTCCCAGCTCTGACATTCCATGTTCTAAGGGCCCTTTTAGCTCTGACATTCCCTCTTCTAAGGGCACTCCTAGCTCTGACATTCTGTTTTCAGTTCGAAGGTCCTTCTCAGCTCTGAGATGAGATTCCATATTCTGTGTTCTAAGGTTCTAAGGTTCAGAAGTTTATGTAGTGGTCAGAACTTTGGTTTGCAAGTCAGGGGCCCTGGCTGTAGGAGATCCCATGTAAATCCCATGTTCTCTCTGTGCCTTAGTTTCCCTTGATGTCAGATGGGGAAGCTAAGCTGAAAGGCTCTGACACTCTAATTTAATTGGAAGCCTTTCCTTGTAGCTCTCTGGGGAAACTTTCCTGGGCCTGGACTTCAGGTTCAAGGGCAGGCATGTTTCTCTCCTCAGGCTGGGGGCTGCCTGAGGGCACAGCTGTGTTCCCTTCTTGGACTGGGCGCTTTCCACCAGAAGGCATGAGACTCCCCTTAGCCCTTTCCCCAAAAGTCCCCTCACCTGTGACTTGTAGCTCAGTCTTGGCCCTCACGATCCAGGCTGGATTGATGGTGATGCCCACTTGGTAGGTACCGCTATCCTTGGGCTGGGCATTGCGGAGGAGGAGGGAGCCGTTGGGAAATCCAATGATGTTCCTCCCCTTCATGGCGTTTCCATCCCTCTGAGGCCTTTGCAGGCCTGGGATGTAGGAGAAGATCATTGTGCCCCCATCAGTCTCCTTGCCCTGGTACCAGTTGAAATCCTGGATGGCCCCTGGGACACCGTGAACAGACAGAAGGATGTCTTGGCCCTCCTGGGGCACCTCAGGAATCTTCTCAATGAGGAGAGCGGCCCAGGCCTGATGGACAGTCCACCAGGCCAACAGGGAGGCTGTGAGAGGGGCAGAGGGAAGGTCCTGAAGGTGATAGTCCCACCCTCCTCAACTGGAGTGGAGTGGGCCCTGAAGACAACAGGGGAGGGGTGGGTGGATGGATGTGTGGGAAGTGGGCTAACAGTGATCCCTGGACCCTAGGCCTAGCTAGCTGGGAGAAGCTTTTTTTGACCCTTTAAATTATTTAAATTAAATAATCGAAAGTCAGAGTAGGAAGGGCTCTTAGAATGTGGAATGTCAGACCTGGGAGGGACCTTAGAACAGGTAATGTCAGAGGTGGGAGGGCCTTTAGAACACAGAATGTCAGAGCTGGGAGGGGCCTCATAACAGGGAATGTCAGAGACAGGAGAGCCTTTAGAACATGGAATGTCAGAGCTGGGAAGGGCCTGAGAAAAGGGAATATCAGAGCTGGGATGGGTCTTAGAACAGGGAAAGTCAGAGGTAAAAGGCCCTTAGAACAGAGGATGTTAGAGCTGAATGAGTTTAGACCATAGAATGTTAGTAATTGACGGGAGCTTGCTATTCCATTCTGCCCATTGTAATTCAGTGAGTATTTGCCATGGTCTTACTGTATGTAGGGCAAAGTGGACACAAAGATGAATAATGAAACATTCCCTGCCCTCATGGAGCTTACGTTCTCCCAGGGCATGGCACAGCATGTTCGTAAATAAATATAATGTAAAGCAGAGAGTGAGCAGGACAAAAGACCTCGCCAGACAAGAGCTCATCTGATCCCCTAGTGCGCTTTATCTTTGTTTTCAAGATGAGGAGACTGAGGCCCAGAGGATTTTCATCTCTGGCTGCCCATCTGGGGCTCCCCAGGCCTCTCTCTCTTCCCCTTCCACCGGTAGGGGGCCTTAGCTCCATCTGGGGGAGGGGGCTCTTCTCTTTCTCTCAGGGAGGCAATGGTCCTCTTTACATAAAATGGGGACATGTGTCCCAGCCCCTTGTTAGTTTTAGTGCCTGCCTCTCCAATGCAGGTACACACACACACACACACACACACACACCCACACACCCACACACACACTCACACACACACACAGACAGACACGCTATCTTCTTGACTAGTCTTACTCGGTGGGGATTACGGAAGTAAGGGATGGCAGGATGGGTACCCGCCCAGTGTCTGGTGACTTGGGAGTGACTCGTATTCATGGGGTGGAGGCATGTACAGAAACATGTCCTATTTTATGTGTGGTAGCTCTATACTGCTGTGGCATGCACACATGTGTGTGTGTGGATGTACGTGTTTGTGTGTTGCTGGAAGTTGAATCCTTTACACAGTATCCATCTATCCCTGTGTGCCCTGGGAAACTTTCCCCTCTCTGAATCTCAGTTTACCCCTCTGTGAAATGGGAGAGTTGGGCTAGACTCCCTCTAAAGTTCCTTCTCCCTTCAAGCCTTATGATCTGGCCCCCCCCATCAGCCCCGGGGGAGCCCCCCTCACCTGTGAAGGTAAACTCCTTCCAGACACGACGTCCCCCGTGGGGCCGGGCCATGGCTCTTGCTGCCTCTCTGAGAGGCAGCTACCTCCCTGAGTGGCCAGTCTCTTCCAGACCCTGGAGAAGAAGGCTTCCCCGGAGATTCTGCTCCTCAGCTACCTCTCAGCCGGTCCAGGGACAAAGTGAAGTGATGCTGTCAGGGTGAGCACTGGGAAGGGGTCAAGGCCAGTACGTTCATCCAGTCTGACCTGCCTCTGGTCTCTCTCTCCCCTCTCCTTCAGCCTTCCCACAAATGAGCAGGGAGGGGACCGGTGAGCCGGGCCTCCACTCCTGGGGGCTGGCCTGGCTCCTCAGATACCAGACCGACCTGTTCCCCTGGCCTGCTGCTGACTGGAGTGACTAGGGAACTTTCTGGGGCTTCCCCGATCCCTCCTAGCCCAGATCTTACCACAAGAGAGGGCCCAAGGGATTACCTCATCTTCTCTCCCTCCTCCAGGTATCCAGGCAAGGCCCGGGGCTCCAAGCCCCTCCCCCATAAGGGACGACTGCCCCCATCTGGAGATATTCCTAAGAACCCAAGCTTCCAGCTCTAGAGCCTCCAATCCCCTCATTTTACAGAGGAGGAAACTGAGGCCCCTAGGAGAGAAGTGACTTGTCTGAAGTCACACAGCCGGTACACACCAGAACTGGAATGTGAACCCTGGTCTTCTGACTCAGAATCGAGCCTTCTTTACTCTTTTACTCTGCTAGCTGATATCTCTCCAGTTGGTGAATTGGGAATCAGAGGGCGTGGGTTCAAGTCTCAGCTCTGTATCCTAAGAGGCATCCCAGACCCAAGGGGGGTGACGGATCCGTGCTAATTCACAGAGGCGAGAGGTGGGACGCGGAGCCGGGGACACTCTGAGGAGCCTAACCCCAGTGCTTCCCCCTTTAGGAAACCTTCCTGCCCACCCCAGGCTCTGAGGACCTCCCCTCTTCCCTCCCCTTGGCTTTGTTTATCTATGATAGACCAAGAGCCAGGTGGGACACCATATCTTTAGTTCCTCCTGTCAGGCAAGATTCGAACCCTGGTCTGACTCTAATGTGCTAACCATGTAATGCCATGCATCACATTTGTGTTGATGGAGGTTTTTTTTGGGGGGGAGGGGAGCGGTTCTTCATTGTATCCCTAGTGCTTAGCACAGTGCCTGGCACGCAGCAGGTGCTTAATAAATGCTTGTTAACTAATTGGTGTCATTCATTTTATAAACTATGAACTCTGTGAGGGCAGGAAGGAGATTTTGTCTCAGTTTCGTCTCCCTTCCAGAGCCTGGTCATGAACCATTGAACACATTTGGCATTTAACAAAGACAGAGAGAACAGTGGGTTATTGAATGAATGGATGAATGAATAGATGGCTTAACTATGGCTACATAACTAGGAATGGAGGGAGGTGAAAAGGTTTAAATCAGAGAACCTAACCCTGGGCAAGTAGGGGAAGAAAAAACTCAGAGTCACTGAGGTTGGGGGATATAGGGGATATGGTTCCCCTATGCTTCTGGGGTAGCATGAACTCAGGATATGGTGTTGAGGAGTGTGTGGGGGTCAGTGGTGCTTGGTGGGGAGAATCCTTTGGAGTCTGATGGGATGTTGGGAGACAGAAGTAAGGGACGGCAGGACGGGTACCAGCCCTGTGTCTGGTGACTTGGGAGTGACTCATATTCATGGGGTGGAGGCATGCACAGAAACATGTCCTATTTTATGTGTGGTAGGTCTATACTGCTGTGGCATGCACGCATGTGTGTGTATGGATGTACATGTTTGTGTGTTGCTGGAAGTTGAATCCTTGTGGGTAGATGTGTTCCTCTAGGTCGGGAAGTCCAGGGGTAGCCAACTTCTCCTCCTTGACCTAGGTGTCACGGGGTGTGACAGCAGGTGCGACCAGCCTTGGAGAGATGGTGTCTTCAGGAGAAAACTAGGTCATAGTCTTCTCTGAGAATGAAGGACAAATCAACAATGGTTTCAGAGTCCCAGGAGGTGACTGGAGTTTGAGAAGAAACCAGGCATCGCACCCTTTAGAGCTGGAAGGGACCTTCAAGGTAAATCATGAAAATAATTTAAAATATCATTTTATTGATGAGGGAACTGAGGTCTCAGTGAGCTCAAGTGACTTGCCCGAAGGCCACATAGATAGTAACCAGGTAATGCTAGGACTCGAACTCAGAGCCTATCTCTCTATATCCGGTGGTCTTTGCACACAGTAAGAGAGAGGTCCAAGGGATGGAAGAGTATGGGAAGTGGGGAGTTCACTCTGGGGAACAGTGAGAGAGAGATGGAGGTGATTGGTACAGCCGCTGTCTTCTGCTTTTAATGTGTTTAATTCAATTCAACCCAATCATGTTTGGAGGCCAGTGAGTGGAATGGCTTGCCAATGTAGAGTGTGTGAAGGGCAGCTGGAGAAACCAGCCTGGAAAGCTAGGCAGGAGCCACAGGGCTGTTGGGAAAAGAGCACTTTGAAAATGTTAAAACCCTGGAGAAATAGGGAATCACATCACTGCCCAGTCCTCAAAATGCGGCTTTCTCCATTCCTTCTCTATGAAGAAGGAAAGAATGTTAGTGCTGGAAGGAGTCTGAAAAGATTAGAACCATTCAGAAATAGAATGGACTGCCTCTGATGGTAGTGAATGTTATGTCTCTTACTGCAGAAAATAAGGAAGGAAGGAAATCAGCATTTATTAAGTGCCTACTATGTACCAGGCACAGTGCTAAGTGCTTTACAAATAGTGTCTCATTGAATCTTCACAACAACCCAGTGAGGTAAGTAGTATCATTCCCATTTTACAGTTGAGGAAACTGAGACAGACAGAGGAGAAGTGACCTGCCCAGGGTCACATAGCCATTAAGGTCTGAGGCTGGATTTGTATGGATTCCATGCCAGTGTTCTCTGCGCTATGGTGCCACCTAGTGGCCTCTAGATTATTAGTCTGGTTCTTCCGAATGCTGAGACCTTTAGTTCTTCCTCATCTCTAGCTTTTGATTGATGAGGAAAGTGAGGCCTCAAGAGTGAAATCCTTTCCCTAGGGTCACAGAGAGGGAGTGGTGGCCTGTGGTCGACTCTGACACCCAGGTCACTGCTCTTTCTGTCTCTTAAAACAACTAAACTCATGCATTTTTAAATTTCCCTGATAAAAGTGAAGGTACTTGGTAAAGTGGCTAGAGGGATGGCCTTCGAGGCAGGAGGACCTACCTCCAAATCCTGTCTCTGGCACACACTGACTGTCACTTAACCTCTTAGAGACCTGAGACAATTCTCTAAGACTATGAATTGAAGAACAGTTGCCAATGGATGTTGGTGGAATACTGGAAGCTCCATTTAAAAAAAAAATCTTAGATCTATGCCCCAAAATGTCCAATCCCATCCCCCAAGCAACCTAAAACACAACCTGAAATTAATAAAGATTTGTTAATCTTTGAGATTAATCTTGCGTAACAAACAAGATTAATAAAAATAGGCTCTTTCAGAAATATTTCATGTGAGCCTCTTTCTACAGTACTGCCACTTTCATCCTGCAGTCAGATTTCTTTTGAAAAAAACAAACATTCATTGTGAGTTTGCAAAGACATAAAAAAGGTCCAGGAAGGGACATTTCCTATCCAGGGAAACTTGTATTATCATAGGAAATGGACCTCATTCCTCTAAAAGGAAATGAGAAAGCTTTCCAAGGTGTATGAACCAGTGATGTGTCTCCTACCGGGGATGATTTTATTTTGCATTTTGCTTCCTGGCCTCCCCCTACCCCAAAGTAAACCAAACCAAACCAAGAATGATCCATATGGAAAAAAAGCAGTTTTCTATTCTTTCTTTCTGTCCTTCTTTCCCTTCTTCCTTTCTCTTTCTCTTCCCTTGCTTGACTTTTTCTTCTCTAACTTCTCCTTGAAGTCTCTCTACACTCATGCTGTGTTATGGGCTCAGAGATCTTTCAGTCAATCGGGAGTGAGATCTGGCACTTATACAACATTCAGTCTTACAGGGTGGTCCTTCAAGTCACCACCCCAAACTGCCTTCATAATTTAAAACTGCAATGATTTCCCTATGAGCCCCCCTCCCCACCACACCAGAGAACCCCCCTTTTTTTGGCTGGGCAATGGGGTTAAGTGACTTTCCCAGGGTCACACAGCTAGTAAGTGTCAAGTCCCTGAGGTCAAATTTGAACTCAGGTACTCCTGGCTCCAGGGCTGATGATCTATCCACTGCATCATCTACCTGCCCCAGAGAACCCTTCTTAATAGCAAACTTAGTCAAAATTGATTGATATAAGAAAACATGTCTGATGGTGTATGTAATGTTCTGCACTTATAGTCCCCCACTTCTCTCTGGAGAGCAGGTAACTGTATTTTTCAGCTGCCCTCTGAGATCCAGCCTAGCTGATAGCACTCAGTCTGACTTCAGTTGTTTATTAGTGTTATTTTTGCTTACATTATTTTAGTCATCATGTGGGTTGTTTTTCTAGCTCTCCTGGCTTTGCTCTGCATCTGTTTTCAAGTTGTTCTGAATCCCCCACATTCATTGTTTGTTATAGCACATTCCATCACTCACACTCCACAATTTGAGCCCTCCTATAGTCAGTGGGCACTCACTTTGTTTGTAGTTCTTAAATGGATACATGGAAAAACCTTTATTAAGTGTTTAGTATGCAGTCAACCAGCTGTGTGATTTTGGGCAAGTCACTTAACCCTGTCTGCCTGTTTCTTCATCTGTAAAATGAGGGGGAGAAGGAAATGGTAAACCACTCCAGGATCTTTGCCAAGAAAACTCCGAATGGAGTCACTGAGAGTTAGACATGACTGAAACGTTGTGTGGTAGGTGCTGTCCTAGGTGCTCGGAACAGGAAGGCAAAAGGGACATGTCCCTGTGCTCAAAGAGCTTACATTCTGTTGATTGAGTCATAACCCATATCCTGGAGCAGTGACCTGGAAAGGGAATTTTACTGAGTTAAGATAATACAGATATCAGCATCATCATTTCTTTCCTCATTTATTAATAAAATAATATCTATAAATTAATATAAACTACTATACAATAAATAATAAGATACTAGAAACAACATAGAATAAAAATAAATACATGCAGAAATAAATTAGTGCATTTTTAGCTTGATGTACTATTTTCAGAGGAGCACTGGGAGCCAGTTGGAACCTGCCAGAGAGAGCTGGTTGTTAAATTTCCAGGTTGAGCATTTACATCTTGGAAACTGGCAAATGCTACAAATCAAGGCTTGATTTACTGTTTTTGTTGATTTTATGAACTTAAGAAAGTGATGGATAAAATGTTAATGACACAAGTTAAATTTAAAAGTGTGACAGGGTATATGTTTCACCCTTCTGTCGTCCCTGCTCCCGGAACCAGGTGCTAAACACTTCTGAGCACAGCATTGCCTGTTTTCCTGTCCCAGGAGGCACCTTTGATCCCAGTCAGTTCTTTCACAAATGGGTACCTCAGGGGAGATCAATTGGGAATAGTTCCACAAGGTCAGCCTTCCATACCACAGGAAGAACATCAAGGAATGTCATGTCTGTGGATGAATGGTTACATGCATTGGCTCAGTCCCAGCCCCATTTTGTAAAATGTTTCCTGAATTATTTCATCGATTGTTTGCATGCAAGGCATTGGGCTTGGTGCTTAGGGCTTAGGAGATGATCATGATGAGCCATTGAAAAAGTTCTTGAGCTAGACAATGACAAGGTTAGTGGGATGTATTAGGATGGATTGAACATCATGAAATGGGTTCTGCCAGACCTGATATTGACCTTCCTGGATTACTGAATCCCCTTACTAGTTATGTGACCATGGACAAGTAATTCGGCATCTCGGAATCTTATGGCATCATGGATATAGGAACGGAAAGGACCTTAGAGATTCTCTAGTTCAGATAAGGAAATCTAGACATAGAGGAGTTAAGTGACTTGCCCAAGGTCATATAAGTAGTAAACTTCAGAAGCTGGACCCAGCACTCTTCCTACTACACCATGCTGCCTTAGTTTTCTCATCTATAAAAAGGGGATAATGATAGTACCTGATTCACAGGTTGCCGTTAGGATCAAATGAGATAAATATATATTGTCTTTGGAACTGCAGAGGACTTATCCAAAGTGACATAATGGAAACTTTGGAAACTGTAGAGGACTTACCAGTGTTAATATTGTCGAAAGGTCATTCTTCTCATCTTGTTTGTTGGGGTTTGGTTAGCGACAGTCCTGGGACAAGCCAAGATCCTATTTATATTTAATGTTCTATGGATAGAATAAGTGCCTTTTGTAGTCAAATAAAAGTGAGGATATGAGCTCACCAGTAAGTTCCTGGGAGTATCCTGGGTATTACTTCAGTAGAAGTGTGATGTTTATAAAGTTTGAGAGATGTAATTTCTGGGTAATTTAATCATTTCATTAATAATGCTAGCACGTTTATTAATAAAAACACAGCCATTTGGCCGTCTCTCTCTTAGACCAAAGACCATCATGGTGGTGGGCTCACAGCTTATATGCCCTTTGAAGAGGAGTGTTCCTGAAGGTGATAATCAACTCTGATTGGTTACGTTACAAAGAGAAGTGAGCTTACTCCATTAAAGAGCTGAGAGTGACATTATGTCACTCTTGGCCAGAGAGACTGTCCTTGTACTCTGACAAACCTCAGCCTTGGGCAGTCTTGACAAACAGTCTATATTCCCCACCCAAGCCTGAGCTGGTTGGGTGGAGTAGAAACACCCAGAATGAGGAGAATATAAATCCTATCTTCCATTAGCCCTTTTGCCCTTCAGAGAATGGACAAGGAAATAGGATAGGGGAAAAAAAGCTTGGATTTCCCCAATTTTAATAATTGACTATTAATATGAGACAAAAATAATTATTTCTTTCAGGAGACAGGATAGCCTCCTGTGGGAACCCCAACAGGGTACTGATAATTGATGGTCAGGTCTCAAATTCTCAAATGCATCTATGATCTCACTGACTATGAGGGTCCTTCTGATGTGTCTTCCCACCCAAACTACATATTTGCATGTCCTTGTGGTCTCCAGAACTTGTGAATGGGGATTGTTTCATT